AATAAGATGTATATACAGAACAAACACCATACTTATTTGTTAAAAGTTTTCTAGAAAAATTCTAAAATTAAGTTGGTCATAAAATGAACTGACGAAAATGTGATTGTTTTTTAATATTTTATTGAATTGAGCCGTCCATTAAATTCTGGAATACCCTAATACCTTACGTAATTTTACCGTAATATCGCCTGTATGAAAATAAGTAGAGGAATCCTATTTTCAGTTACACTACATGCGTATTAAACTGTCAAACACCAAGCGGTCACCGGTGACCGCAACCTATTGTTCTATAATTGTGTCTACAAAACCGGTACTCGACGAGTTAATATACATGACCAAGTTACGGGTTCAGTTAGTAAGATAATGTAATTACCTTATGCTAAAATTAACAACACCAGAGGTGTTACAAGTGCGTTGCCGGCCTTCTGGATTAGGAAATTGAGGATTGTTGGGGATTCAGGGATTGGGGAAAGGGGGGGGGGGGTTATTGGGCCTCCGGTAACCGCACTCACACGACGAAACACAACACAACGTTGTTTCACGTCGGTCTTCTGTGAGGCCGTGGTATCACTCCGGTCGAGCCGGCCCATCCGTGCCGAAGCATGGCTCTCCCACACTTAATGACAAAAAAATGCCATAGAGTGACATTCAGTAAACAGTATCGAAGCTGTAAGCGCGGGACTGCAGACGGCGAGCATGGGTGGCTCCCCGTCCGACCAGAAACAGACCCGAGCGTACGGCGCGTCGCGTTCCGCGCGCGCCATCAGACCACCACAGATGGGGCCCAATAGGGCTGTTGCCGATTCGGAGTCGCGGAGAACCTAACGGGTAACCGGGGCTCCGGCTCGACGTGCAGGAGAAGGAACGAGGTGCTTTTTAGTCAGTAAGAGTCTGACACTCCCTTCCGCCTCACCCAGGCGGGAGCAAACATTCGATGATTTTCCCCCTTAAAAAAAAAGGTCACTAAAGATGAAGACGATCAAAACCTTTCATAACCAAAAAACCAAATCCGTTTACTCACCGCTATGAACCAAAACAGAAACCGTTAAAACCTTCACCGAAAATACAGTAATAACCGAAACATAATTAAGACATACCACAGTCAAACAAACAAACAAACAGATTCACCAAGTTTAAGGTCATTGTACACACGTGTACTTATCTAACTATACAAAACCAGTATAAACTGAGCCGCAAATGTGGGAAAGAACCATAGAAAGCGAGACCACGATGTGTGGTCGTTTTTGCACTGACTATAGCAACACGGCTTCACATCAAAGTGTGCAGAACCAGTATAAATTGGTCTTTGAATGTGCAGAAAGATCATACAAAGCCAGTCCATGATGTGTAGCTGTTACTGACTGTAGTTACGCATGCGTCACGCTGAGTGCGCAAGGGCGAGTGGTATAATGTGTTAGGTAATTTTTATTTGTGTATTGTTTCGTTTGGATCTTAATTCAAGTCTTTGTAATGCAGTTGGAATGTGTATGTGACATTTTTGGGAAATGACTTATTTTTTACCGACTTCAAAATAAGGAGGAGGTACTATGTACGGCTGATTGTTTTTTTTTTGTTTGTTCCCGCAATACAATCCTTGTTTTGGTTGAAAGGGTACACTCCCGAGATGTTCATATTTCCATGAGGTCAGGATCTGATGATGGGATCCTAGGGAAACCGAGGGGATATGTCCGTACCGTCTATTATGATTCTTAATTAGGATTTTTAAACACTACAATTTGATAAGGGTCTGGAGTCGACCTGATAATGAAGCCGACAGACAGTCGAGAGACAGTAATTTTGTATAGAACTAATGGCGCTGACTTCTAACCTCAGTGGGTGGGTAACCTATCAGTACTAATAATAGTTATTTTTTCTTTTTATTTTTTACTTTTTGTTTATTATTATCCAAAACAAATCAAATATCTTGATTTGGCTCACGAGGTTGTCGACATGTGGAATGTAGATTCGGCTATCATTGTGCCGATAGTCGTGTCGGCCAATGGGTTAATCCCTAATAGCCTCGACAACCACCTTAGGAGGCTAGCGTTAGGCAGTTGGGTCAAGGGCCTGATACAGAAGGCAGTTCTCCTTGAAACGGCGCGCATTGTGAGGAGGTTTCTGTCTCTGGAGCCCTAACCACCGATAGCTTGGACCATGCTACCGCTACTGGTCGGCTCCTATTTTTTATATTTTTAAATATTATTTTTTATTTTTTTGTAAGTAGTATTTAAAAATGTAATTTATAGAGAATTTTAAATAAATATTATTATTATTTATTATTATAGTGTGGTGACAGCCAAGTACTTAATAGAAATATTTTGTTTTCCAAACGAACTCTTATGAGTCGACACATTAATATCACATCTAATTTGACTATGACTTAGTCATGTCAAATTACTGTGTCGGACTACACATTAGACAGAGATCGGGAAGCTGCACAATCTGATACTTTCTGAACCTTTTATATTGAGGTCTCCTGCCCATCCGTCAAGCGTTAAGATTATGGCAACGTCCTCTTTTGAACCTCTGATAATCATGCATAAGCAGTTAAACAAAGCTTTCCATTTCAGTCGAAGGCAACCTGAACCTGCATCCATCTACAAATTGAAAACCAAAAATATTTTTGACTCGCTTGTCGACTAGGATTAGGAATGGTTGAATTTCAATATGAACTGTAGTTTCTATTCCATGTCATTAAACTGTCAAACACCAAGCGGTCACCGGTGACCGCAACCTATTGTTCTACAATTGTGTCTATAATGACGGTACTCGACGAGATAAGTTTTGGTAAGGACCCTTTATTGGACACAACAAGTCCTAACCTAAGTAAGACGTTGTTACGGTACCGAGCCTGCCCTCAATTCCGGCATGATGCGTCAACCAAATGGTTTCATTTCAATATTAAAGTATGCCAAATATTTATCCGATTACCTCATCGAAACGGTAACAACTAGGTCGATTTAATAATATTATTTTAACAAACACAATACACAAAAGAATTAGCAAATCGCTTCAATTGTTCATTTGTGATGCGATGACAAAAGAAAGCTGAATATTTTTAAGTCATCCTATAAAGAAATTAATAAAAATTCTGACATTCAGTCAATATCATCATCATAATCACCACCACTAGTCTATAAGTGTTCACTGCTGAGCACAGGTCTCTTCTCACACAGATAAGGATTAATCACCGCTCTTGCTGAAGATGAGTTGACTTTGACAACCTGTTGGCTCGTCTTACCTGGACATACATAGGTATCTCCAATTGACCGTCTCCTGTGCTTCATCTTAATCTCTTCCTATCCAACCACTGCTAGAAAACAGTAACAGTATAATAGTATCAAATATAAAATCTCAACAAATTACAATTAAAGAAGTACCTTTATACAAATAAGTGGTTAACAAAACAAATACTTCTCTACCTACCCTATCAAAGTATACAACTGTAATATTCTATTGCATAATATCCAGTGATAACTTCGATTATAAACCTTGTCTGCCGAGAAATCTGTGAGTCATTGTAAGTTAAGTGTTTGTCAAAGAATCGGTGAACACAGGGACGTAGTTAGGGCTATGCAGGCCCCATCGTGGTCCCCTTTACACCAAAAGGGCACCAAAAGAAAATAGTTCGACACAAGAAAATATGAAAATAAACTAGAATATTATAAATGGTCCATACACCTTTACAATTATTTTTTACCTTATTTTTTTTACATAATATATAAATACGATGCATATATTTTTATATACACTTCAAAAATTAAGTTTACTGTCTAAATAGGAATGTTAACAGTACCTACTGAAACTTTAACTACTAATTAACATTATTTAAATTAATTTAATTAAACATCATCTCTTATATATTAACTCGTCAAGTACCGTCATTATAGACACAATTATAGAACAATAGGTTGCGGTCACCAGTGACCGCTTGGTGTTTGACAGTTTAAAGTGACATTCATGTATTAATTTCGACAGTTAAGGGCCCGAAAACCACGCTGCAGGGCCCCAACGCCATCCCTGTACACACGCATAGCATAGCGGTGTTTTTATAACCGGCGTTATTGACCGCTCATTTCTTTGTTCCAATGTTAGCTAATCGAACGTTTAGAGGTTACGGCACACTAGGGATCCCTTGTATTTGATATCGGCTGGTAAATTCCACGATTTGATAGAGATAAAAGATCAATGACACGGCTTAAACGGTTTGAATTGTAATTTTTAGTTTGGATTTTTTGTTGACGATTTTTGTATCTTTGACTTATTATGTATTTTGAAGATATATTTATTGATTTTGTGGCGGTACGAAGGAAGTTCAAAAGCCAGAAATCCAAGCTTTTTATCCCAACTGAGGTAATGTCCCCGATATCCCGTAACCTGACATTCTGATCTTGCACAGGAATGGCTATTATTTTGATATTGCGAGCCCATCTTTTCAACTATTGCTATCCAAACTGGTCACTTATACCATCAGGTGATTCATCTGCTCGTCTGTCTCTATCTCAAAAAAATATCTCCGGACAAGATCAATCCAGTTTAAATGAAACGACCACGTCTTACAAATCCAATCTACACACACCCTTATGTCAACACATTATAAACAATTTATTGCTAACACTATAACACTGGTTTACACAATCTATATAGAACGTGATTCTCTAAATGTTTATTGTAAAACTAAGTTTTCCTGTCGGTTAACCAAAGTTGAGTTTAACGGTTTTGACCGCATACGGTAGCACTGTGCTGTGGAATCCCAATCGTACCATTTGCAACTGGCACTGACTAATAATGTAATCGGATTGCCCTGTGTACTGTTATGATTCCAATTTAAGCGAAATTCCATCTTAATAACATACATAGGCTTTGTCCCCAAAGGTATTACCAGAGGTACACATTTAAAAAGGCGTTAGCCTTCCTAATAAGAATTATAAGGCCAATTAAAAACAAAGAAGTATTTATGAAAATACAAAATCTAATTTTCGCCTTTTCTTTTTCCACAGATGTGACTAACCCCGTCATGGCAGCCACCGACGGCCAAGTTGTGGCCGCAGCATCACGCTGGTGTGAGGAGGGAAGCTACCTGCGAGAGTTCGCAGTCAAGAACCGACTGCCAAGCGTCGCCAAGATTATCAAAGGACAGTATGGAGGCCTTGGTGTACCGACACTACCAAGTCCTGGACTTCAGAGCACTGCATTGCTCGTGTCAGTAGGAAAACGAAAGAAAATAATAGCACAAGCCATAAAACTCAAAGAAGGAAGGCGAATGGTCAGCGTTGGACCCCGAATAGCCATCCCCGAAACATATAAAGGCTATTTTGAATTACTAAGCGAAGAAGGTCGAGCTGTGCGATGTATCGAATCAGTATCAGAACTAGCTAGGAGGAAACTAGACGATGGATGCCTTGTTAGAGAACCAGTTAGAGTAATTTGTGCTAAAACAGACTTAGATGGCAATGTGACAGCTGATGGAGCTAGAAATCTACCAGCTGGGGAGGTTATCATGCCTAGAGGTGAAACGTTCTTAGGTAAAAATAAGTATTTGAAATGTACAGACTCCAAAGGAGATATGGTGCTCTTAAGTCTGGATCAAAGAGGAAAATTCTCTGCAGTTGCTAAGGAAGAAAATATAAGCGGAGTGCACACAGCAAAAACTTTGTTGACTAAACGATTGCCGATCACTGTAAGACTGGTGCACGGAACTCCACCCAGGGGCCTGAAAAGCGCCAGCCATTTTGTCCCAGAACTAAGACTACTGTCCATGTTTGAAGAAGATCATGTTTTCGCTCTGCCCCTTCCCAAAGAAGGCAATGCGTTAGTAGCGCTACCATTAGCGGCGCCACTAAAAATGCAAAGATGCAAAAACGAGGATCAAATAAAGAACTTCATGGAATTTTCTAGACTAGTGGAAAAGTGTAATCGATTGTTAGTTGATGTCGTGGATCGAATACATGTGTTGGATGGAAAGTTAGGTGATCCTAAAAGGCTTCTGAACGGACCTCTTCACGCCCCACCTTTAGTCAAAACTGGTTACTTCCTTAGACGCAGTGCATCTTCAGACACGGCGAACCAACACAAGCACATGTCTCGCCACAACCACATCTACAGCAGTCATCGAGATGAGAACAGTATCCCAGACGAATATGACGAAATAGACCAAATTTACGACTACGTCAGAGGATTTGCGCCTCTACCTAAGAATATAAAAGCCTCATATTCGAATGAACCATCTCCAAGACACGAATCAGCTCCAGCATCACCCGCAGCAACTCCTATTCACATGCCTTTAATCACGGAAATTAAACCAGAACCACCGCCGATAGAGACGATACCAACAAAGAAGCCATTGAACATTCAGAAAGCTGAGAAGAGAACGAGGAAGGCTCCAACACCGATCAAAGAAACCCCAGTCACTGTTTATAAGGAAAAGTGTTCCATAGCGCCTGCAGCAAATCTTCCAAAACTGTACATCAAAAATAGTGTGAACAACAGTAAGAATAGAATGGTTTTCCGTCAAAAGAGTACTTCGCCGACTAAAGAGGCACCTAGTCCAGTAGCTAGTCCGATACGACCGATCAAAGGTGACTCCCCAATCTTCAATATAAGGTATAAGAGTCTATCAAATATCCACCAGGCCATGGAATTGGATGGTACGTTAGATTCGAGCCATTCTGGAGGAAGAACGTCTGGAGATTCTGGTAATGGTCCGAAATTGCCTGAAAAACGGTCTAGGAAGTTAAGCAGGCCGAAGTCATTGACGAATCTGGTTTGGGAGCTAAAGGGATGCCCTGATCCGGAGAAACCTAAGTCTAGAGTAAAGAATGAAAGCTACAAGAAGATTGGTAACAAATTGTCTTTGGGAGCTCAGAAAAGGGTGCCGACGTTGTATCTTTAGATTTTGGTAAGTTCTATATTCCTTTTCTATTTTATTTACTGCCCTACGGATAGGTAAAGGTACGCAATAGAATGAGCCCATGGTCAAATATTGGGCACTATCCCAGACTCCGTTCTGAAAACGAATATCGCAAATAGGTACCCATTACCTTGGTCTACCTTTGAATCGAATGTACGATACCAAATTAGGCAGTCACATAACACGTGCAGTTATGTAGTTTTAAAGTCAGTATTTAAACAAATACACAACCTCAATTCTATAGCAAGTCGGCTAATAACAACTTACATATTAGTTAGCAAATTGTAAGTGAAGTAATCTAAGTTTAGCTGGAAAATGCTATCTTGCAAGCATGCAAGTCAAGAGAGGTCGTGACCTCTCTGTATTCAATGTTGCATCCTCTTTGTTGGGTAAAGAGTATTATGAAGGAAATATAGTGGCATATTTAGCTTTAATGCCTCGTTTAATACATAGTTGGTTTTAGTGAATGTAGTAAGAGACCTCTGGTTCAATGGCTTTGTCAAAATGTTTGATAAATCAATCACTTTTAGTTAAACCTGGTATAACACTAGAATTGTCGGAGGCCTTGGGTAGGCTTACAATATTATTAAAATTTGTTTTATCTCACTCTACAAGATAGTCAATTTGGAAATTATACTAAAACGTAACCAATACATGATTTACATCCCAAATAGCGATAGTTAAGCAATACTTCAAAGCTCGTCTTTACAAATGTCGTAGGAACATTAGTTCGTGATATGTCATGCCTTAGGTTTCCTATAAATTGTGAAAATGAACAAGCATTCATTATATTTCTTGTATTTTGTAATTATGTTTCTATAGGTTCTTGTTAATAGGTTGTTTGTTCGTAATTAGTGAAGGTGTGTGTTGAAATTGACCGTTTCTTTGGGTATGGAATAAGCTAATGGAATAAGGGTTTTCAATTTACGAGTTTGCACATGTGCCACGGATACTGCGGACAACCTAAAGGGTCACCGGGGCTTCGGTTTGAAGCAGGAGTAGGAATGATGTACTTTTTAGTCAGTAAGGGTCTTTTTTCCTTTTTCCCCTCGTAAAAAAGGTTCTTATACTTGACTGTGAAATTGACCTTTAATTGGTCAACTTAATACTTAAATAAACATATTAGAGTTTCCAGTATCCTTTAGTCATAAACTAAAATTACTATTGTCAAATTGCTTTTTATTTTTTATTCCCAGCCTTTTCTCAACCATTTTGGGGTTAGCACTGCACTGCATGAGGAAGAACCCCTCTGTAGTTCGAAACTAGTACCTAAAGCTTTTCTCAGTACTTTCACGTCGCTAACCCACGATTTTTAGTTAATATCAGCTGGGTGTTAGTATTTCACATAGAGCGACGAACAATTTGGTTTTTTTTCTCTATAAAGAAAACAAACACTATGCATAATACATACTTTTTTGTCAATGAATTGTTTAGTTGTGCGAACTCTAGAAAACAATTGACGATAATGCATTATTAGGAATCTCAATTGTTTAGGTTTTTTTAAGTACTTTGTATTCAGACATATCTTAGGAGTATTGTATAGCCATACAAATAGAATATTATGGTTGGCTTCTGCCTGCGGCTTCACCCCCACTCTTGTGGGATATAGAGTAGCCTATGTTACTCCAGACCATAACCTACCCCTGTTCCAAATTTTATACCGATCCCTACAGCCGTTTTGACGTGAGAGTAAAAAACAAACATGTAAATTTTCGCATGTCTAATATTAGTAGGATTAATATAAAATGTTTTTTTTTGTTTGTAAAACACGTTGCCCCACATTAGGATTTTCTCCTGTGTCGTGGTTGCGTTTACAAACATACAAGTTCACATACACATATCACACCCAGACCAGAAACAACACTTTGTGCATCACACAAAGTGTTGTTCCGTGCGGGAATCGAACCCGCGACACGTTGCACGGCAGCCGGTTGTCCAGCCACCGCACCAACCGTGCAGTCGAGTTAGTACTGAATGTATAAGTCAATGTTTAATTTATACATTCAGTACTAACCAAACTGTTAGACCTAAAATTTGATTCTAATAAACTGGGAAAGTTGAAATAAAATTCATTGTACAGAAACGTAACATGATTTCATTATACTCAACATAACATAACATAACATCACGCCTTTTATCCCCGAAGGGGTAAGCATGGGTGCACATTACCGCACTTAATGCCACTGTACAATGTAACACCCACTTTTCACTATTTATACATGTAATTCTTTGGTTTGGTTCTATTGCCATATACCGTGCACAATTCCAGACTCCATGCTACTACTGAGATTTTTTTAAATCCCTGTAATACTTTGCCCGACCAAAAAATCGAAATCGAAACCCCTTGCCCTTGCCGACTGTTGACTCGCACTTCCAACCACTCGGCCACCGAGGCAGTTCATATCAGAGGTCAATGATACTTAACCTATTACCTAATTCCGTTTTTAGTCGCATAATCTACCCCAATCCGAAAATCGAAACCAAAACTGTGTTCTTAACTGCACATGCAACTATAAATTGTACAAATTGACTGGTTGACCGTTCATATTGAAGATTCCTAATAATATTTAATAGATTAATAGCCATAACTGTACGATGAAAACCTATTAGTTAGTATCTTGATTAAGTTTTTGTTAAGAAGTTATTGACCGGGCAACGCCGCAGGATATGCTAAGCTAATTCTGTGTCTAATGCAAATCATTGTGTTTCAATCTTTGATCGGCAACTTATGACATGTCGACCTCTTGAGGAATTTTAATTTGATTAGACAACTGTATCTTTTTTGGCATTTTACGTTGCGGAAAAAATTAAATAATTACTTGTTACCTTATTATATATGAAAAGATCAAAGTGTAGTCTTCTTTCAATCTACCAATATTTTCATTGCCCAATTACCCTCTCTCCTTATTCTCCCCAATCCCCAAATCTTCAAATTCCTAATACCCAACCAAAAGCCATATTTCGGCACGATTGGGCCGGCTCGACCGAAGTAATACCTCGGCCTCACGGAAAACTGACGTGAAACCACACTTGCGTTGTGTTTCGTCCTGTGAGTAAGGTTACCAAAAGCCCACTTACTTCCCCCCCCCCCTAATCTCTCCAATCCCAGAATCCCCAACAATCCTCAAATTCCTATTCCCCAAAAGGCCGGTAACGCTCTAATAACGCCTCTGGTCCAGGTGTCCATGGGCGACGCCCATTGGTCATCACCATTGATCCGTCTGCTCGTTTATCGGCGAAATTATAACAATCTATACAATATCCCACCCTGAAAATAACATAATAATCACCACAACAAGAGGTCAAGGTCCCTTAATGTCGCTTCGCAAACTTTTACTGCTAATTTCCACTTAACAGGGCCGCTCCCGACCACCGCCCCGATTCTACACGAATACCACGCCTTGATCATATTCCAACTATGTATTAATCTAATGGTATGATTATGTTTTGCACGACATTTTCAGCTCTATTTCAGTTACGCTAAAAGGTCGTTTGTTAATTAAGTTTTTGGAACTTGGAAGTTAAAAGGATGTTTATGTTTTGTATGGTTTTTTGTGTGTCGCATTTTGTATGGGATAAGTTGGTAAACTAGCAGACTGATCACTGATCACTGATGGTAAGCAACGGGCGCTGTTAATGGACACCTGGAAGACTAGCGTTATAAGTGTGTTGTTGACCTTTTGGCAAGAAATTTGAGGATTGTTGAGGTTCCTGTATTTTAAGTTAAAATACAGAAAAAGATTAAAGAAGATTAAAGATACGTTGAAACCTAAATATCTTAGCACCTTTAAATTCTTATGGGTATACAATCTTGTCTACGCTTTTCCTTTCGACGATTTACGAACCTCATTTTATAATTGTGCTTAACCAAACACAACGTCCGAATTCATAACATGAAATCATGGCTTTTGTCCTCGAAGGGGTAGGCAAAGGTGCACATTACGGCACTTAATGCCACTATACAATGTAACACCCGCTTTTCACTATTTATGTTATGAGTCGCATGTAATAGGGGGTGAGCCTATAGCCATATACCGGGCACATCTCAGAGAACCCAGTAATGCTTTTCCCGATACGGGAATAGAAAAACTTCAGAATTCGTAACACTTTTTTTTATCACCCGCAGAAACGCAATACTTATAGAAATCTAAATAGTTCTTTACTCATTGAAAATCTGACTCCCAGGCTTAGTCGCCAGTCAATAAGTAAATAAAATACCTATAGTTAATACAACCAACCAACCTACTAATTTGTTATCGATAAAAACGGCAGCATCTAGTTTTTTACTCCGATGGTCCCGAGCTGATTCAATGTAAGATCTATAAATAAATATTACATTATGTATAACTTCAATATACATACTTAACTATAGATAGATATAAGGCTGACTTACACTTGTGACACCTTGGTCTTATTTGTAAGGAGGTTTTATATATTAACTCGTCGAGTACCGTCATTATAGACACAATTATAGAACAATAGGTTGCGGTCACCGGTGACCGCATGGTGTTTGACAGTTTAAAGCGATTTTTTTACTATGTAGTTGATCAACAGCCTATAAATGCCCACTGCTGAGCAAAGCCTCTTCTCACACGGAGAAGGTTTGAGCATTAAACACCACGCTTGCTCAATGCGGATTGGTGATTTCAAACTTATAATTAGAAATTATAAACCTAGGTTTCCTCACGATGTAGACCATACTTTTTAAAAAGAGTAACCAATGGAGTTTCTTGCTCGTTCTTCTCCATTCGAATCTACATTTTGGAATGAGCACCTAGCTTCACCTAGCTTCACTGACGGACTGACTGACAGACTATTTATTATTTTGTATTTGTTGACGTTTCAAAAGTACCAAATTATGGTTTAACTGAAATAGGTAAATGCTTTGACTTTGATGTTTTCCTTCACCGTTTGTCAGTGGTGTCTGAATAATCTTAGTAATCTATGATTCATTTACAAATAATAAACTTAAATAACATAATTATGAATTATTAGCTTCTGCCCGCGACTTCGTATGCGCAATCCCGTTTTCTCCCGTTGCTGTAGGATTTTCAGGACTTTTTTTGTTATAAGAACCTTCTCTTGACGATAATATACACAACAAAAAAAATCAACCAAATCGGTCCCGCCATTCTCAAGTTATGGCGTGACAACGGGAAACGGGTTACATTTTTATATATATAGATAATTTAAATGGAAAAATAAATAAATACGTACAACTTAAATTACACTATAACTAAAAGAAAATATTAAATAAAAGAAAATTAAAAATAACTATTTACAGAGAGCATCGAAAAATTCGTCCGCATCGACGTCAATAGACATTGCCGCGTTGTAATCTATGCGTTATATTCAAATTACTTTTTTTATATATATAGGTACTAAACTTTTTATGATACTCCTAAATACAGCTGTCAATATATTTTTATATAAATTAGAGATGTGAAGATCTTTGAACTCGTTTTAACTAATTAATTACATCAAATCAATGACTTAGTATGACGAGTACTTGAGTTTTTATTAAAATACCAATATTAATAGGTCCAACCACCAGCAAATTAAACTACACCAATATGTAATATTCCCATTGAATTTTCGACTTTATATCAGCAGTGATGAAGTTGAAAATTTAATAAATGAAAAAGGGTAATTTGACGTGCTGGTCTGAACTAAAATTAATACCTACATGTACTGTTCGTGTATAATTAATTTGTTGATAAAAAATCGCTATAGTTGTTGATAAAAAGTCGTTAATACTTCTTGAATAATAAGATGAAGAGATCTCAGTTTTGGTCATGTAGAAAAGTATTGTTGAGTGTTTGCATCACTATAATATTAAGTGTGGGAGAGCCATGCTTCGGCACGAACGGGCCGGCTTGACCGGAGTGATACCACGGCCGAGCAGAAAACCGACGTGAAACAACGCTTGCGTTGTGTGAGTGAGGTTACCGAAGGTGGGCCTTCCCCCCGTCCCTAGTCTCCCGAATCCCCGAATCCTCCACAATCTTCATTCCCAATTTCTGAGAGGTCGGTAACGCACTTGTAACGCCTTGATGTTTCGAGTGTCCATGGGCGGCGCCGATTGCTTGCCATCAGGTAATCCGTCTGCTCGTTTACCGGCCTACGTTATAAAAAAAAATTAACTATCCCATCAAATGTAAACTGCCCTTTAGTTCACAAAGCCTATCGTTGCTTCTTCAACAACAATTGTACGCAGAAAAAACGCAACAAAAACGCTTTTAAAGTTCAATATAGATAGAATCTATTTCATATGTATTAGTATCGACTAGTGATGGACTTTGTGCGCGGTAAAAAAATAAGCTTCGTGTAAATCGTAGACTATTTTACCTACCTGTTTTTAACAGTAGCTTAGAAGAAATGATACGTACTACTTATTAGTTTCTTGCTCGTTCTTCTCCATTCGAAACTACATTTTGGAACGAGCGCCTAGCTTTACTGATAGACAGACGGACGGACAATTTTTTGAGGTTTCAAAAGTACCTAATAAAGTATTCATTGATTTATTTCAATTACTTTGACTTTGTATTGTAATATTTTTGAATACCTAGTAGGATCAGAACCGCGTTCCGTGCGCACCTCAAAGAGCCATCAGACAACCACGGATGGGGCCGAATAGGGCTGATGCCGATATGGAGCCGCGGAGAACTTAAAGGGTTTCCGGGCCCCGGCTCGAAGTGCAGGAATAGGAACGGGGTGGTTTTTAGTCAGTAAGAGTCTGATACTCCCTCCCACCTCACCCAGCCTCGAGAAGTCATTCGATGATTTTCCCCCTTAAAAAAACGGGCTGTGGACACTTATTAGTTACTTCATGTAAAACACTGATATTTAGCCAAATCTGGTAAGTCCCGGAGCCCTTCCCAGCCTAGTTTAGAAAAGCCTCTCTTAGTCGAGTCCCTCACTGCTGACCCTCATGACTCCCTCTGATTCTGCTCACTAGATGTCGCCGCTTATCTCGTTCCGTTGCTTGATGCATTGCAACATTCATAGGTATCTCCAGCTCCTTGGATCAGGTAAGATGGTAATCTTACCCATACGGTAGTATGGGACTCCGGCCTCAAAGAAATAAAAGAAAAGGCTAAAATAAATAAAATAGCAAACACCAAAAAAATAAAAATATTAATTATTTTTTCGACCCCTTTTACCGCATTCGTATACCAGTTTCCTTTTTACCATCACTTGCCCATCACTAGTATCGACAACAAGGCAGGTGTGTGCATTTCTAGTGAATTATTTATAGTCTGTATAAATGTTACATTGAAACTTTGAGAAAGTATTGTAATATGTTAAATGTTGTTTTTTTTTTTGTTAAATAGGAAACTCGAACGTAAAAAGGTAGCTTTGTGATTTCTATAAAAGAAATTGAAGTAGTTGGACGATGGCTAAACTAATTTTTCTTTCGCTTCTTTTTTCTCGTAACATATTTGCCCAAAGTAGTTGTTTTATTCAATTTCCCTTTAAGGAATTAATGGCATAACTTAAAAACATTAAAAAAATATATCAGTTGTAGCACGGAGTCTGAAATTGAGCCCGAAATATGGCAATAAGCTCACCCCTTATAAGTATATACATGGGACTCATAACAAACAGTGAAAGTGAGTATTACATTGTACAGTGGCATTAAGCGCCGTAATGTTCATATCTGCCTACTCCTTCGGGGATAAAAAAGCGTGATGCTATGTTATAAGAAAACAAAATTAATTAAAAATGAAACCAAGTTTTTTCCAAAAACTTCTCATATATTTGAACCAAGTAAATTTTTCATTTCTACAAACCCGTTCAAATAATTCCAACACGACACCGCATCTCTTGCGCACTCCCATAAACCTACTTGAAAACAAGCATCTTTCATGATTACACCAAAAGATTACAGAATACTAAGACAGCATAAAACTGCATACATTTAAACTAAAAGCTACCATCTATCACTTCTAGCCACCCAACTTATCAAACACGGCGTTAACATACCCATTTGTGAAGTCGAGGTGCGTATAAAAATTCAAGAGATTAAGTACTTATGTGTGTGATTTTATCGCTGTGTAGGAACAAAAATGTTCTAATCGCGGTTACCAATCACTTATGTGATATGAAGATCTATGTTATTTTAAGTAAAACTCAATACTTGAATACTGAAAAGTTTATGCTAAACAGATTCTTATATGAACATAGAGTGATGCTCGTCAAACTTCCCACCAGAATCGCGCGTCACTCACTACCCTTTGCGCGGGAAACTTTACTAATGTGTCACATTTGACAGATGACATCGTCAACGGGACAGCTGTCAATAATACAGATTAAATTAGTGACGTTCTTTTAGTTGATTTTCTTCGTCTATCCGTTATGTTATAGGTACATGCAGAAGGTTTATAAAATGAGAAAGCTAAGATTTCTTTTGAGAAGTCCACTGTGTTAATCTTTGACACTATCGAGAGGATGCAAAAAACCAAGGACAAAATGCGTCCTGAATTTTGTCCTTGACTTTTTGGTTTAAAGCGTGCTATACCTATAGATTTTTATTAACTTGACGTACCTAAATGACTGTATATTGTTAATCAGAAAATCACGTCCTTTATTTTTGGAAAGGGGCAACTGCCCCTTTCTTTTATCTTCATTTATTTATGTGGTCGTCTAACTGACGACCATATAAATAAATAAATAATTTTAAACAGTATTGTATTAAATGTAGCTAAAACCACCTCAACCTCATGTGCGCGGAGGATCTCTTCTCAGTATTTTCTTTTTTGTTGGTTTGTACGCGCTAATCTCTGTAGCTACAAGTCTGATTTGAATAATTCTTTTTGTATTAGATAGCACATTTATCGAGGATGGAAATAAATAGGCTATGAAACATCACTCTACGACCAATAGGAGCTGAGCAGAGCGTGTGAAACCGCGCGGAAGTAGCTAATATAAAATAAAACAAACCTTCTATCTTCACTTCAATATGCCACAAAAAGCGGTTCGCTATAAATATTCGGCCATTCTTTTTATCTAAACTCAACATAAGACCATTACGGGTGTAACGTCACTTGTGGTGTACCGTAATGTTTGATAGTAGCCATAAATCAGGATATGATTTAGGTCCAACGTCATTGCCGTGTGAAATTGTACCCTAACGGTATAAACTTAGGTCATAGGTTTGATCTAGTGCACTTTGTTTAGATTGTAACTTTTTATGGTTGTTGCCGTTAGTTGAGTATAGATGGCTATAGTGTAGTGTTATGGGTATGACGTAGTTATTTCTATGAAGTCTGCTTGTGAAATGAGGTTGGGGTTCAGCTCGTGGCTGCAAAAATGTAATATTCAAAACACATTATGTTCGGCACATATTTTTGTGATCTGCAGATATTTCTATAGACCACTAAAATAAATTTATGTTTGATTTATTTTTGTAATTTAAGTTTAACTTAATCATTTTGTTATATAGCCAAAAATATTTCTTAACTATTTTTTTGTCTCATTCCAGGTCCACGTTGTCTACACGACAGACGTGTGCGACCAAAGCAGACACACGACAAACGACTACAACGACCGAACATAACAAAACCGTTACATTTTGAATATACATCATACTTCGGCTAACTTCGGCAACCTTCGGGAGCGGACGGCGAACGACCAACGAGTTAAATTAAATAGTATTTTAAACTCAGGATGTAGCTAGTATAGCAGATCTTTGATCGATAGCATAATTATTTCATCTGACAAATGTAATATTCAATTGGACTTTTCTCACTAGCACCACCTGAGGAGAATAAAATTAAAAACTGTCATTGTAATAACATATAGAAATATAGGTGAGATAGACCACAATATTGTTCGATTCAAAACAGAAAAAATTAAATCCGACCAAAATTTGTTGAGCACCGTCATTATAGACACAATTATAAAACAATAGGTTGCGGTCACCGGTGACCGCTTGGTGTTTGACAGTTTAAATAAAATCAGAGTAATATTTTGATGTTAAAAATGTAAAAATTTTGTAACAAATTATGATCGCTATTTTGACTCTTGTAGACATGTTATGTACGCACTAAAGTCATGACTTTACATACATGACAAGTTCAGAACATAATCAAAATATTACACTAACAAAACAATAGATAATTAAGGGCCAATTTTTCCAACGCGAAAAAAAATTTTAACTGAGGAATAATGTTAAATATTTGACAATTCTTCCATACTAAAAACTGTCAAATGTTAATTTTATTCCATAGTTAAGAATTAACTGATGATTGAAAAATTGGCTCGGCCGAAGAGAAAATATTACTACACGATATTGAATGTACCAGTAATCGAAGTTAGCTAACACAACGAAGTTATTACGAATGCTAGAAACACTTGAAATGTCTTGCTTGTTTTGTAAAATTGTTAACGAAATACTGAAATGTAAGTATAGGCATTAAAATTGTACTTTTTTGCTTATGGTAACATTTCTTTCACTTTGACAGATAAATAAAATTCATATTTGGAATCGTTTCGGCGCCATCGTTTTACGAATTTCAATTTGTAATTGTTCTTTTCTTGGCAAAAGATTGTAAAAGACTTTGAAAGAAATGTTATCGTAACCAAAAAATCATGTAAGAGAAATTAATAATTTTTATAACGAAAAAAGAACTTAATTTTGATCTCTTAATGGATAATTATTTATGAATGTAATGCCATATTAAAGTATAATACCTACTTCATTGGTGTTCGTTATTAGATATAAGTTCGGGTCTTTCATCGTCCAATAATAATTATTTAGTTATTAACTATCTAAGACTACTATGGTGATTATGTTTTATGAAAATTGAAAACTATTATGAATATTTTTCTTTATTATGATAAACGAGAGTCAACGCCATCTAGTTTCGCGGTATGGAACTAATAAGACAAAAAACATGGCGGATGTTATGTGATTTATTATTTGGGATTTATGTTGGAATTTATACAAAATGTTTAGATGAAAGGCCCTTGAAGCTCATGATAATGATAACATAGTATATTTTAATGAAAATAACGTAAAATTCTGTAATTGTTTTCTTGCTATGATTAAATTTAATTTACAATGTAGCGTGCCGGACGATTGCAATTAGAAACTGAATATTTAATCACTATGGATCAAAGTCATGAGCCTCTTACGATTAATTAGGTAAAGATTTCACTACTTAAATATATAACATTTTGAAAATTCCTTCTGTTGATGCAAACCAAAAATGCGAGGTGCCTTAAAAATGCTTTTTTCGAAAAAAAAAAAATCTTTGTAATATTAATTAATAATGTCATAGTTTTAAGGGAAATAGTCACAAATATCTTCGATTTTTTAGGTTATGTTTAGTGGTAAGTCACTACAAGTTATGCAATTCTTAAGATATGCATTTATCCATTTTTTATGTAATGTTACAGTCATAATTGTCTTAGTGGGCATTTTCGTTTTAAATAATGTTGATGGAGTAATTTGTCCTGCAGCTGATGACTTATTTTAACAAAAGGGCTGAGTACGAACTTTTTTACGTTTAACGAGTCTGAAACAAAACCGCGTTCGGCGGTCTGATTGGCCGGCTCCAATGAACCAACCAATCAGAGTGTCGAACGCGGTTTCATTTCGGTTATTTTATACTAAAAACAAATTCGCACTCTGGTGACTTCGAGGTTTACTAGTAAAGACAAAATGAAACCGGAAATCAAAAAGTTCTATCTAGCGTTATGAATCAATTTCGTCCATAAATCTCCTATGGGTATCCTATCCACCACAATTGGCAAATCAATAAAATACAATTATGGAGAACACAAAAATAATAATTAAAAGGGCACTAGCGATATTATTTAAAACAAAAATGATGTCTTTTATGTAAAATGCTGACGATTTGTTTTTATTTAAAACTAGCGACCCGCCCCGGCTTCGCACGGGTGCATTATACATGCATTATACATATAAACCTTCCTTAAGAACCACTGTATCTATTTAAAAACCCGCATCAAAATCCGTTGCGTAGTTTTAAAGATCTAAGCATACATAGGGCCAGACAGACGGCGGATAGCGACTTTGTTTTGTACTATGTAGTGAAGTGATATTTTATTTATTATCTCCTAGGTGCTTGCAAAAGTTATTAGGAGATATCTTTGTCCTTACTCCTCACCCAGTTAGTTTTCAGATTGGCACCTATTCCGAACCAATTCGGCTTAATGTAATTAATTATGTTAAGCGAAAGATTTTACAAAAAGGTCTTTCAATGAGAATTCTAACCGGTGCCTTCATCTCCCTCATACCTACATTTCTGCATTTTTATCAATTTTTGCAAAATGTATGGTACAGTAGTCTGATCTATCATTAGTACATTCCTACACTCCACTGACGCAGTTTTCTTTTGCGTTCGTTTATAAACCTCTAAACAACGATTGAAAGACGCTATATCATAAAATCACACTATACTGAATCAACGTCTCAACAAAAAATCTAAATAAAAACAAATCTACAGCAATTACAACATTAGATAAGTCTTACGTACCCCTTAACGATAAATCTCTCGGAATTCCGAAACAAGTTTCGATATTTCGATACGATTTATCGATTACTTATCGATTTTTTTTTTGTATCCCAAATATTGTTCTTGGTAGTAAGCTAGGCCACTTCACGTCTCTAGTGTACGACTTTATGGTATCTTTAGACTAAGGTTTTCATTCAGTGTTATTAAAATATCAATCGATATTGTAATACTTTACGATAAATAAATGAAATGATATTGAACATTATTTTGTTTTTACTCAACATCTATAGCTCGTAAAAGTCCAATACATACAACATAGCATCACGCCTTTTATCCCAAAAGGATAGGCAGAGGTGCACATTACAGCACTTAACACCACATATACATAAAATGTATAAAAAGCTCCTCAAGCATGTTCCCATACTTCATGGATGAGGCATGGATCTCCACCTCAGCATTATATTAAGTGTGAAAATATTTATTTACCGCTGATTTTCGAATCGAACAAAACATATAATGTAATTATAAACTAGTAGTGGGTATTTAGGTATTTGCCAAGTCAAATTCAATACTTTTTTCGAACTGTCAAAAACGATGGTTTTCTAGGAATTTTGTACAAGATTGTGTATTGTGACCTCGGTTGCCAAAGAAGAAAAAAAAAATATGTATTGTGGTGTCACATTTTTTTAACGTCAAACAGCATACTCATTTCTTAAAAAATTGATGGAAAAACCTAAAATTAATTTGGTCATAAAATCAATTAATGAAAGTGTGATTATTATTTTTTAGTAATGTTAAAATTATAATTACACAGTTGACGTTTCAAAAGTAGATACTGAATGATGGTTTAATTGAAATAAATGCTTTGACTTTGACTTTGAATATATAATTGTATTGAACAGTCGAAACAATTTATTTTTGATTAAGGAAAGTACCCAATTGTAATGTTATTTAAAAGGTGCTTTATCTATGTTACCTGTTCGGTTGTCATAATGTTGTTGTATGCCAACTTTTGACATCTGGTTGATTAGTGTTACGGCCAGTAGGAATAGAGAACTTCTAACACAGGGTAAGTCAATATTATTGATTTAAATAAAATAGAAGATCTCCTAACATAACATAACATCACGCCTTTTATCCCCGAAGAGGTAAGCTGAGGTACACATTACGGCACTTAAATTCCACGGTACAATGTAACACCCACTTTTCACTATTTATGTTATGAGTCCCATGTAATAGGGGGTGAGTCTATTGCCATATACCGGGCACAATGCCAGACTCCGTGTTACTACTGGATTTTTTTTTAAATCCAGTAATACTTTGCCCAACCCGGGAATCGAACCCGAGACCCCTTGCCCGGTAGTCGCGCTTGCGACCAGTGGGCCAACGAGACAGTATATCAAAGGATATCAAAGGAACAAACTATCGTAAAACTGACGGAAAAATCTAGTATCAGTCAAAACCAGCTAACCGAAGCAAAATAGGATAAAACACCGGTTTATCACCGTAAACCGGACACAATCGCCTAATCCGGTGTTGCACGTATCAGGCCAAGGTTCAGTATAAATTATAGTAGCATGGCAACACTAGGCTTGCATAATATTCAAATGGAAACCAGTAACGATCATTACTAACCTTCAAACGACTTGCAATAAAATTACTATTCCCATTAGCAATTGTTTTGAAATGTTTTAATTTATTTTTAATCGATTTTTAATCATTTTTGACTATAGAATGGTAATATTACGATTTTTTTTGAAGGAGGAATAATCATTGAATGTCTGCTCCCGCCTGGGTGAGGCAGGAGGGAGTGTCAGACTCTTACTGACCAAAAACCACCCCGTTCCAACTCCTGCACGTCGAGTCGGAGCCCCGGTAACCCGTTAGGTTCTCCGCGACTCCGAATCGGCATCAGCCCTGTTGGGCTCCATCCGTGGTGGTCTGATGGCTCTTTGAGGCGCGCGCGGAACGCTATGCGCCATATGCTCGGGTAATATTACGTTAAGGTATAGTTTTTGCTTGGACAGGGCAGTCAAGGTCATGGGTTTTTTTAAGGAGGAAAATCATTGAATGTCTTCTTCCGCCTGGGTGAGGCGGGAGGGAATGAAAGACTCTTACTGACTAAAAACCACCCCGTTCCTACTAACCCGTTAAGTCCTCCGCGGCAAGGTCATGGGTAGACATTAAATACAATTGGCTTTCAACGTGACGGACTAAAGGGAGACGCATTTGCTCTGTAGTGGACATTTAAAGAATCATTACAATTACTATAATGAATTTAAAGATGGTTGTGAATCTAGTTATCGATCGGAAATGTGAAGTTCAAGGTTTTGGGTTTAAATTCTTGTTTGCAGATGCATAATTGAAAATCTTTTCCAGCAAACCTCAGGTTATTTTGCGTTTAATGAAATGGCATTTACAATACGTTACAAAGTCGAAAATTAAAATTGGACACTTGCGTTCATAAAAAAAAATATTTCGACTGTTCACTACAATAAAATATACGACATTGTGTACTGTGACGTCACAGTTTTTTTGCGTCAAACAGCATACTTATTTCTTAAGAATTCGCTGGAAAATTACTAAAATTAAGTTAGTCATTAAATCAATTCAAGATATAAAATATAAAAAAAATAATCACACTTTCATTTAATTGATTTAATGACTAACTTAAT